AATGTATTCTTGATCCATCACGTCGATCAGTCGACCAGGCGTTGCGATCAAAATATGGCATCCTAGCTGCAAATGCGCGATTAGGTTCGAACAAGTGCCAAGCTGGTTCTACAATGGATTCCTCAATCCCTCGGACAAGCGGGGAGACACTTATGAAACAAACTATAGACGTGAGTGCTAGGAAACACGACAGGAAGCAAAAAAGAGAAGGATAGGAACAACAGTACCACGGAGGGATCTTAAAAAAGAATACTTACGCGAAGTTTGTTGATTTGATCTTTGTAGTTCTCTCTTCCACCATACAGTAAAGCCGAAGTGATCGGAGTACGGTAACTGAACTTGCGGGACTCATTGTAAATCTGAAAGAATGCTCTTTTGTTTAATATTTCTGCCTCTGGAAAATTAGCACAGCCATAATGGATGTTGTGCAATGAGAGAAAGGGAGAAGGAAAAAGGAAAACGACTAATACAATGGACATATTTAAACTAATTTCTGATGAGTAGTCCAAAAGCATAAAAGTGAATACAAGCGTAGTGGTAGACACTGAATGTGGTGCTGTGAACACATAGAGGATAAAAAAAATATAAAGTCTCCGCAGTTGATCAATCCCTTTTGGGATGCGGCACGCATTCTACTTCCATTCAGAATCGTAGTGGCTTTGAATGCGATGTGGCCTATACAATGACTTGCGGGGGCCAGCCGATGTACAAGTCAGTGTCCCCATGTTCCCAGACGAATCTGGTACCATTTTACATTCCACGGAGGGGGCCCAGCTGGTCTGGACGGGAGCCAATAGGGGATTTGACCCCCGAGGACTGCGTACGTGGCAAAGGTGCCACTTGCCATTACACTACCTCCGCTTCGCTGTGTACATATATGACCAAGCGACCAGCGTTAACGCTGGTCAGCGTTAATGCCGGTCGGTTGTAATTAATCGTTGGGAGGTCGCATTTGGCCTTGAAAGAAATTATCCGAACGTAGATTTTCTCTGCTCCAAGGGCGCGATTTCATCCCCTAGTTGGTAGCTCGGCAATCTACATTTCTGAAAATTGATCGAGGGTGTCAGTCCCCACCGCGCTTGAAAGTTGAATTTCGAGAAATTCTGATAAGAGCGCAGAGCGTAGCTAGGCTGTGATAGTGGGTCATTTTGTAGGTAATTCGGTGGGCGTACTGACACCGCCGTTTCACACATACACTTCCCTGATAATGACACGAGGCCACACATACACTTCCCTGATAATGACACCAGGCAAAGTAGTAGTAAAAACCTAAACTACGTCATGAGAAAGTGGCCCTACTAACATGTTTAATGGCAGTTCAAAGGCGCAGTTCGGTTATGTGTGGGCATACGCACGGGCACTTTCGCTGATTCACTAGTTTCGGTTTACAAATTTCATTCTAGTGAAACCTGCGAATTCTTGCGAAGCTTGAGCAAGCTCGTCCAGCCATCATGGATTGCATTGGTTGTATAGGGGGTAGTCTTCGTTTTTAGCAACGGTTTTGAACCAGGTGCATTTACAAGAGTTGACAGGTGGTCTAGAGGGCTCGAATTAGTATTAGTTCGTGGCTTCACAAGATTCCACAGGTCTCCACGTGATGGCTCGACACGTCGATGAGAAGTACCAAAAATGCAAAAGTGCCCCCCCCCCCTCCCACGTCGTCGGACTATGTCGAGATGGCATTCATAAGTAACGTGTTTCGCAGTTAGCCGGCTGAACTAATGCTCCTCCCACATATAAAATTGAATGCCCATTCTCAAGCAGCACCTATCTCAGAATCGGCCAAGGTTTTGACGAGCGGTCAACCGATTCAGAAATGAACAAAGGTTTCATAACAAAATAAAGTTTAGTGTAGCATTATTGTACTGTTTAAAAAATACGCACCTGAAGTGACAATTCTCTCGTCGGAGAAAGCACCAGCGCAGACGGGTACTGCTTCTTACGGCCACCGTGAGACATTGTAGGAGGATGTTGGGCACCAGGACCATCCTTAAATGGACACCGAATCACCAAATAAGAATTATCAAATATACATGAGAAAGAATAATAAAAAACGGGAAAACAAGTAAAACGGAAAACAAACCTGTAGAATGGCGTTAATAAGAGGAACCAAGAAAGCTGCTGTCTTTCCTGAACCTGTCTGTGCACAAGACATCAAGTCGCGTCCACTGTTCAGCGCAGGAATCGAGTATTTTTGCACAGGAGTCGGGCGATTGTACCCGGATTTCTGGATGTTCTCCTCAATCCATGGATGAAGCTTTAGATCCGCAAACTAAAAACCGTACTCATGTGACTGACCAGCAACAAAGAGCTAAGAAGGCGCTAAATAAAAAACCAACAAGAGAAATCGGCGGCGGGACGTCCTCTCCAGTTGCTTCAACAGGAATTTCCTCATATTTATCGAAATTAATTCCCGACAACTGTCCAGCAAATAATTCGGCTTCGAGACGTTCATCACGAGGTTGTTGATGCTCCCACTTAGTTACTTGTGCTTGCATTCCATCCTCACGTAGACCTGCCCAGCGGCCTCTAAAACTGTCGCATTTAGCTGATAGTTCAAATATTCTTTCTGAGCAGATAATCGAGTCTTTCGACCAGGAAACTTTTAGAATAGAACGAACTTCGCTTCTTCGCGGTCGCCATTGTCTCTGCGCATTGGCTGTGAATCGTAGCCCCTGCAAAAAGAGAAAAATCAGCTCAGCTACTTTTGTGTTGATAAAGAAATTTCAAACCTCTGATTGTAGCCACCACGGCCACCAGACATCGGGTATTCACGATCATCACGACCAACATCGTAGCCGCCACCATTGCGCTGACCACCGCCATAACCACGATCCGAAAATCGGCCGCTATTTCTGTTGCCATAGCCGCGGTCATCAAATCCGCCTCGCACTAAACATTTCACTAACTAAGAAACCGAATTTCACAGGTCAACTTAACAACTTTGCCCTGAACTCAGGGTACAGCATCGTGATGGGTGAAATGGCGGTGTCAGTACGATCCCCCTCCCAGAGGATCCCAATACGCCCACCTTCCGGCTCTGATTTCTGTCTCTAATGGAAAAGATTAGGTGCGTAATAATCTGCAAGCGCTTGCAGCTGCGTTTCGATTCAAGGAAAACAGCGCTGGAGCAGACTCGTTGACAGGGTAGAAA